GCAGCCTGTGTTGACTGTGCTCTGCTGTTGTCTGAGAGCTGCTTTGCTGGGTCATTTCCTGCCTCAGTCCAATGCCACAGTCTTGCATCAGCCAATTAGAAGAAGCCACTATAGTAGCTATTACTTAACACTTCCTTTTAAACTGGCAACTATACAGCAAGGTGGTTCTACATAATGTTATGTCAGCTTTTCAAAAAAAAAAAAAACAAAAACCGTGGGTGTGGCAAAAATTCAAACTGACACAGTTAGAAACCTGGATGCAGGCTTTCAGAAGCACCCTCTTCCACCCCTCTCTGCTCTGTCTGTCAGCGGTAGTCGAAGTGTTGAACCAATCAGACCCTGACACGTTCTCCCCCCCCCCCCACACCTCTCAAGAAGGTAAGCAGAGTCACAGCAAAAGACCAATATCGTATCGGTGTGGTGCCCTTCTCTTGTCGTCATCGTGCTGAGAAATCCCTAACCTTCATTTCCTACCCCCCAGCAGGCATTGTGTCACAGGCAGGCCACGGCCATTGGGTCCTACTGCGTGGTGGAGCATTTCTGTCTATTATTAGCTTAGGAACAGTGAAGCCTCTTTACGCTTAACTGGATAGGCAGTCGTGTGCATGTGTGTGCACTTCTGCAAGGAATGATGGTTGTCTGTTAAGTTTCTCCAGCTCTGTGTGGCATTCATCAGAATCTTTTGATGAGAAGTATATTGTGATTTTTACAAATTGGTCTAGATATTAATTTCAAGGTGTTTCTTACATTTCTTACTTGTTGCTTACTAGTTACTTACTGTTTCTTTACACCTTGTTGCTCATAGATTTTAAACGGAGGCAGATGCTGGTCATAATGCCCTAGTTTAGCTAATGGGAATTTTAATGACATCTTTATATATAGCAGTTTAATATCTGAGATAGTGGTATGATATTACATTGAAATCTTCATATATGAACTCCTAAATATTAACTACAGCAGCCTTTACAGTCATTACATAGTAAGTATAAAAAGACAAGGTGAAGCGAAAAAATCTTATTTCCTACCCATAACAAAAAAGTAGTAAGTCTTAAAACTGATGGCTCAAAAAAATCAAACCATGTTCATGTTAGGGTTAACACTTTTTAAAACTTATTTTGATTTTATTGAGGTTTGACGTAGAGCTGGGTGATTTTTATATAGATTTTTTTTCTTATATTCAGTACATTTTTTCATAAGAAATAGCTTGATAATGTATTGTTATCGATTTCATTTATTGTAAATGTAGACAATATGGTTTCCTGTTAAATGGCAGGATGAACGGATTAGATGGTGCCAGAAAAAGTAACTGTATGCACATGGAGTGCCAGAAACAGTAACATTGTATATGCATACTGAAAAGTGCTGTGCATGCGTAGACATGCAAGGTACGAATCAGGCAGGTGGTATGGAAGGGGGGATCTGGTAGTGACAGACACCCCCCTCCCCCCACAAAGCCCCGCCCATCCACACCATGTCAAAAAGAGGCCAGATAGTGAAACACAATGAAAAATGCAGCGCACAGGGAAAAAAACATATTGTACACATGTACCGTAAAAAAGGAGTGCAGAAAAAAAGTGAAACGTGAAGAAGAGAACTATCAGAAAAAAAATTGTTCAAAGAATCTTACATACATAGATTTTGTTTACAATGTGTAGTGCTTTTGTTAACGGTACACACATTTGTTTGCAGTGCTATGTGGCCATAATTTAATTCTGTCCTTTCTGTCCTGATTTTTTTTTAAAAGTATTTTAGAGAAGTTTTAATTTTGAATATCAATACAGTGACCTAAAATATCGTGGTATTGTTTTTCAGCCATATCGCCCATCCCTAATATGATGATTCTAGAAGGGTCTTCATATTGTATTCTTTAACCAATTAATGACAATATGCACTTGGTAAAACACATTTTCTGCTTTTATGTCATATATTAAAATGATAATGGGAAATATTTTCAAACCACCTTTCCAGTGACACAACCCTGTTTTCTGCAGAATTAAATGAAATTTATTTAGGGGATTTCATTCATTTTATTTTGCCAACCTCATGACTAACGGATTAGAATTTTTCCTTTTTCGTCTGGCATTACCCCAAATAGACAGCATGACTTATTATTAAGGCCTATGTGACTGTTTTTGTTTAGGCATTTTTCAGCTCTCAATCAACTGCCCAATAGCCAAGCTAAGTAGCATAGCGTACACAAATACAATTTCAAATTCTAATTTTATTTGTCGCATACCAATCATGAGTCACGGTGAAATGTTTCACAACGGTCCATGACATAAAAAACAACAGTGGGATATAGATGTACCAGGGTTATGCAGAGTTAGAAAAGATATTACACATAGGGATCTAACATGGGGGGGGGACAGATGTCGTCATAAGTACAGACGTAGTAGCATGTGCAAATAGTAATATGCTGAAATAATACAGCAGTGTAACAGCAGGTAGAGGTAGGTATGTAAGTAATACATAGATTTGTAATGGGGGGTGATTATTAACCAAGTGAGTCCTAGGTGGTGCTCCCAATTTCATTAGGAGCTTGGTCATATTTTAAAATATGTTGATTACAAGTCTGTTCTCTTCAAAATGTGTGTATAAAATAGCATTCAAGTTGTTATACAAGTTATTTAAAGCTTAAATTTAACTTTGGCACAACCGTATATTCTTTTATAATATTCTTAAGCCAAAATCATCTCGTTTTTAAATATTGCTGTTTGCTCTGACAAAAAAAAACGTTGGGCAAAATTATTTACTAAAAAATATCTTTGGGCCATAATACAAACGAATGTAGTGAAAGCCATCTTGATTGTTTGGTCCACATTCACCTCCAGGCAAGTGGTATTTCTTAAATATTAACATCATGTGGCAGGAAAATTGTGTTCTGCATGGTCACAATCCCAACCAACCCCTCAGTTATAAAATAATGTGAAGCCCAGGCCTTTTAGAAAAGGACCTTTGCTGCTTCCTCTCTAATTAGAGGGTTGGCACCAGACTTGCTTTGTAGCACAAAGCACTTGTTTGTGGTGAGGTCGGCTTTCCTCAGAGGGCAGACGCTGTGTTTGAGCCGCCACGCCACCCGCTGTGTTCTTGCCCTCCCACTTCCATTCTGTCTGGGGAGCCATGCAAATTAATTGGCACCATAACAGGGGCAACTAATTGATGGCAGATCTGGCTCACATGTTGCAGGGAACAGTTTCTCTGAAAGCAACCATTTTCTCTCCCTCTCTTCTTTTGAAACACTTGGATGAAGGATCATTAAGCATGGAAACATATGTTAAATTGCCTTAACGAATGGACCTGAGACATCCGGGGCTGACCGCTAGGGAAAGAATCCTCAGTGGTTTTTCAGTTAATAAGCTGTAACTGCACACTTCCTTAGCTCTTCTTTTTGTGCTGTTTACTCTAGCAGTCTGTCTTTCAGGTCTAACACATTATGAAGAACGTCTCTCTTAAATGTCACTTTAAAAAAGACATTGTTTCGTCTCATGAACCTCTCTCACTGATTCTCCTTTTTGCACATAACTCTTGTTTCTCTGACTCAGTCATTATTGGGCAGAACTTTTCTCAAGCTTTTTTCAAATTTTACTTTAAAGCTCAGAATGCTTGTTCACTTCCTTAAAACAATGCCATGATGTTGGTTGTGATAGCAAGCTGTGATGGCTGTTTTTAATTACTTGCTTATGTCTCTCTTTCTCCCTTTGTTTCTTTAATGGATCTGGATATCGTTATACGGTTAGGAAACGTGTGCTTTAATCATACAGCCCGTAACGGAAGTATAACCTCTTTCCCCTCCTTATTTTGAGGTACTGTAACTCTGGAGCACTGTACAGTCCAGTGACCCATAAGGATTTTCTCTCCCATCACTGAGACATGGGCGTCAAAGCATGAGCATGACAACAGGCAAGGTCCATGCTGAGGCAGAATAAGTGAAGTCCTCACCTCCTGGGAGAGTAATGGGCAGCCATCAGCACAAGGCCATTGCCATTATAGGGACAGATGCACTCCATGGCTCAGGCATGGCACAGATTGGCTGTGCATGCTTAGGTTTTCTGTTGGTGATTATAATGTTGCAAAAGCACGATTTTCCAGTAGCTTTTATTTAATGCACTTGCATATTTTAGGTTTTATACCTGGAGAAACAACAGCAGGAATCTGGTACAAATGGCTGCTAAATGAATCTTCAGCTGTTTTGCTACCTGCTGTCCTGGGTTAAGTCAGTTTGTTAGCCTTAACTGGTATTGTCATAATTTTAATGTTGATACTTTAATAAGGAAGTTTTGATGAAGCATTTGGTCATCAACATTTAGCCTGCACAGTTGCCTGGCTGTTTTGTATCACCCTGATTAGCATACTCGATCTTGACGTTGTCACATCTATGTGCATTGCTTTTAAGCAGCTGTTTTGCATTTAGCAAAAAGAGTATAGAGTGTAACAGCATGTACCCCTGCTCTAGATATGCAACACACAGCCACTATATGAGTAGGTGTCTGTCTGAATAGCTTTTGTTTGCTTCAGAACATTATAGCTCAGTCTGGGTGTTGGGGAATCCTCTGGGTTACCAACCAATCCACTAGTTAACCCCTTGCACCAGTACTCACTTTTAGTTCATTAAGTTAAAAATTCTTGGAATTCTACATACTTGATACAAGCTTTTTTCTTGCAGCTAGCAAACTTAATACCTCACCAGTAAATGTTTTGATAAATTCCTGCTTTAATCTTTCTTATCGTCCCTCTGCTTTGACTGTGCACTATGGACCTTGGAAGGAGAAAAAACAAAACAAATTAATTACGAGGCTGCCTTTTTCTGCCAGCTGAATATGTGTGGGTGTATGTGTGAGCCTGTAAACTCTCTCTTTCAGCGGTTTAGTTAGAATAATAGCCTGTTATGGTTTTGGGTTGCTTCAGCAACTATCTTTGAATCCAGCTCACGCTTAATATAATGTCTTGCAAGGCATTGTGTACATTTCTTCTGATATAGAGCTTTTTCTTTTATCACCTAGATCTCGAATCTGATGAAAATGGCTCATTTTACATCTTCAATGTTGGCCAGCCCCCATCGTTGGTCAACCAGCCAATTGGAATTCCCCGCCATGGCCCGCAATCTCACTCGCCAGTTGTTTCAGTGCCGCCCCGTTCACACGCATACAAGGGGTATGAGTTCAGCTATGATGTACCTAGGTACAGCCCGACAGGGGTCAGCAAGGCCTTTGAGTGCCCCAGCATCCAGATCACCTCTATCTCACCCAGTTGTCAGCAGGGCATGGAAGCCAGCGGAGGTCACCTGGTAACTGGAGATGCTGAAGCTGAAGACACAGATCGGCCACTGTCTCGGGGCCATCTGTACCTTCCATTGGAGACCTCGTTCCGGGACTTGCCGATGAGCTCCAGCCCTTGTAGCAGCCTTTCCTCCCGGAGCTGGTTCTCGGATGCTTCTTCCTGCGAGTCCTTTTCGCACGTGTATGATGACGTGGACTCCGAGCTGAATGAAGCGGCTGCTCGCTTCACACTGGGCTCCCCGCTGACCTCCCCTGGCTGCTCCCCATTGGGCGGCCCTGCTGAGGAGCCGTGGCAGCGTGCCCGTGCTGCTCTCTGCTCTCAACTGTCACCCCGCCAGTCACCTGGTCACTCACCGGGCCACTCACCTCGTGCTAGTGTGACAGATGAGAACTGGCTAAGCCCACGACCCTCCTCACGGCCGTCCTCACGGCCTCCTTCTCGCCCTGCCTCTCCATGTGGAAAAAGGCGCCACTCTAGCGCTGACCTCTGCCGACCGGGCTCTGCCTCTCCACACCATTCTCCTGGCCCTACCCCCGGTCACTCCCCCCGAGGAAGTGTGACAGAAGACACCTGGGTAGGCAGCCCCTCCCTAGGGATGTCCCTCCCCTTCCAGTGCTGCCCATCTGAGGCAGACATCCCCTCAAAAACCAGGAAGACCTCCCAAGACAGGGTGTCCCTGCCTGGGAAATGTGATCTGGGCCTGGAAGACCCAAGCTGTATGTCACCTGCGCTGGACTCTCCTGTGGAAGATACCCTGAAGAAGGAGACTCTGGGGGAGCAGTTCCTGTCCGTCCCCTCACACTTTACTTGGAACAAACCGAAGCCTGGGCACACACCTATCTTCCGGTACGTTAATAAACCTCCTTATCGACATCCTCCAGCCTTGAAAGTGTTGTTAAAGTTACTCACTGATAACAATGGTAGCTGCATATAAATATATATATATATATATATAGTACCTTTCTAGACCAAATTAAAAGGCGTGCATGTCCTGATGAGTAGAAAAACAGTGTTCCCAGCCAACCCAAGGTTAACTCAGAATTGTAAACGAGAACACTATCAATAAGATCCAGGGTTCACATTTGTGGAGATAAAGCTGTCGTATTTACCTTTCTTTTCATTTATAGTTTATTTAATTTAATGTTGCTGTTGTTGTATTTCAAAATGGGAATTCCTGCTAGAGAAATTAGAACCAGTTGAATTAAATAAATCAAAGCGAAGCCATTTTCAAAAAGACATTGAAGAGAAAGATGCTCACCATCTACAGTGTTTATTCCTGCTTCTGCATGTTCTACTAAATCAGGTTGGGTACGGATCGTACAACAACTGCCACCAGGGATTTGTTCCGATGACTGAAGGGTTCCACATCCATTTCAATAACCGCCGCCTCCAAAATGCCAATTTCTCTTGGGCTGATAGAACTTTTCGACATTATTAAAAATTAGACAAGAAGTTGTTCTACACACTTGCATAGTAATAGAAGTCTACTTTTCACTTATGAGAATCAGGAGGGGGAAATGAACTTTACCTTGTGGGCTGTTTTAACAACTGTAGAAATCTTTTTTTCTAAGCACTTGACATGGGTTTTAGGAGAGGATGTTTATCCAAACCTTGTGTGACCGTCTTCCCATGGACACAGTAGTGTGATCTGATAAAGTGCAAAGGCTCAGAAGTATTTTTTTTAGTGATGCTCCGATTGATCGGCCACCGATCATGATCGGCCGATATTGGCTAAAAATAGCTTGATCGGCGAACCCCAAAAGCACAGATCAAAAAAGCCGATCACTTGACGTAAATTACTCGCGCGACTTTTTCACACGTGCATGCACGGCGCACAGGTAAACAACAGCAGAGCGGAGCTTACC